TAAAGACTAAATTACCTGACACAAGAGATTTCTCCGTTTCCCAGATTTGTCTGTAACCTAACTGTCCGTGTGGCACCAAGAATGGCCATTTAGGACAGAGGCCACTTGGGACCTTGATTCACATGCTAACAGTTCTGAAGACATTTTTATTCATATTTAACAATTTTAAATCAGCTTTATCAAAGATTTTACCCAAGTCACATGAACTTGAATAGCATTTGAGCCTATTTTAACATATGAGCACGCATTTAAATAAATTTGGTACCACATACAGACAAACATACACATAAACACAACATACCACACATATATGTACACACATGTAATACAAAGAATTACAGCTCTTATTTTAGAATTTTAGCCAAGAGACTATATAACTTATTAGTTCGAAAAAACAGTATGAGTCAAACTGTATCACTACTGGGAGCCAACAGGTGGTGTGGTGGTTAAGGTGCCAGACTCCCATATGGCTGACTGTGGTTCGAGTCCTAGACCTGGCAGCTTGCTTTCTCACTTTCTCTCTCTCTTTCTCTGGTCAAATTAAAAACTAATAATAAATAAAATTAAATAAAATGATACTTTAAAAAAATTAGGGAATATTGGAAATAATTTGATATTCAATAACAGTAAACTGGTATGGCAGCTAAGGTGCATCTAAGCAAAACACTATGTAGTCATTATAGCAGTGCTACAGAATATTTAGTGACACGTGTTCAACTTACGTAGCTAAGTGATCAAGCCGATCCAGAACAGTACGTGCGGTAAAAACTACTCTACCAGCTTTTGTGTTAAACAGCTAGCACAATAGCCCAAAGCAGGGGTTGGCAAACATTTTCTATAAAGGGCCAAATAGCAAATATTTTCGATTTTGTAGACCATATATCTCAAGCACAAGTATTCAGGGTTTTTTTTTGGTACGTTTTCTTTTTTTTTTTTCTTCAGGAGCAAGAGAGAAAGAGAAACAGACAGTACCCTCAACGTGGTCTTGAGGCTACAACCTGTCCCCATATTTCAGTCAGTCCCAGATCACCTGCCCAGCATACTCAGAGAGGTCTGTGCTGAAGCTATGAACCTCATTCACCTGTGGATTGCCTCACCAACTGACCCTGTTTTTTTTTTTTTTTTTTTTAGTTGAGACATTTTTGCTATAGGGTGGTACAGTCAGTGAAGAAAGAGACAGAAAGTGAGAAATTACCATGGGGGGGGGGTGGCCACACTGCAATCTCTTCTCTTCCATTCTCCTCTTGGGATTTTGGACATTCATGCAGACACACCCAGTGTGAGTTTGTTTTTTTGGAGAGGTTTTTGCTGTAGGGCACGTGCGCTCGCCAGACAGAGAGAGTCAGAGAGACAGAAAGCAAGAAATCACCCCCCAGGGAGGATGGCCATGCCACAATCCCTTCTCCTCCATTCTCCTCTCGGGATCTTGGGCACGCACGCACATGCGGCCGGCGTGAGTTTTAAGCCACTGGGTCTGGGACACGAACCACAGTCGACTACATGGGAGTACAACGACATAGCCATTACGCCAACTGCTGGTCCCGCCCAGCGTGAGTTTTTTAAGCAGTCGTGCCCAGGTCTCAAACCGTGGTCGACTACGTGGGGACTCAATGATGTAACCATTATGTCACCTGCTGGTCCGGACCAACCTATTTTAATGTGAAAGGAGTTGCAGATAAGACACTTAGTCAAACTGTTCACTGGACGTTTTCCCATGATGATCTGAGGTTATAATATTCTCTTCCTTATTGTGGTTGTTCTGGAATATTTTCCTCCAGGTATCTGCATGGTTCACACCTTTCTTTTAAACCTTAGCTCGAATAATACATTTTCATCCAAGTCTAGTGAATGCTCTATTTTATTTATTTATTTATTTTGGAGAGGTTTTTTGCTATAGGGTGCGTGCACTCACCAGACAGACAGAGAGAGACAGAGAGACAGAAAGTGAGAAATCACTCCCCAGGGGGGATGGTCACGCCGCAATCCCTTCTCCTCCATTCTCCTCTCGGGATCTTGGGCACGCATGTACATGCACCCGGCGTGAGTTTAAGCCACCGGGTCCAAGACTAGAACCGCAGTCGACTACGTGGGAGTCCAGTGACATAGCCATTAAGCTAATTGCTGGTCTCTATTTATTATTTTTTAAAAATTATTTTATTTAACTTTATTTATGCATTTATTTATTTATTTCATTTTGACCAGAAAAGGACAGAGAGAGAGAGAAAGCCGCCACGTTCGGGACCCAAACAGTGGTTAGCCATGTGGGAGTCCAGCATTCTTAACCACCATGCCACCTGTCAGCCCCTATTTTATTTAGTTTTTTAAAGTACTATTTTATTTAGGACCAGCAGATGGTGTAATGGCTATGTTGCTGGACTCCCATGTAGTCAACCATGGTTCAAGTCCTGGACCCCGTGGCTTAAACTAATGTGAAGTACCTGCCCAAAATCCCGAGTGGAGAATGGAAAAGAAGGGACTGTGGCATGGCTATCCCCCCTGGCGGTGATTTTTCTGCTGTCTCTCTCTCTCTCTTTCTGGTGAGCACATGTGCCTTATAGCAAAAACCTCTCCAAAAGAAAAAAAAAAAGAATTACTTTATTTAACTTTATCCATTTACTTATTTTCTAATTTGACAAGAGAGGGGCAGAGTGAGGGGAAGAGAAAGTGAGAAAGTATGCTGCCAGGTCCAGGACTGAACCATGGTGGGCCAAGTGGGAGGCCAGCGCCCTTAACCATGGTGCCACCTGCCAGCCCCAAACACACCTGTCTGCTAGACTCCTGTTTTATTTTTTCTAGATTTTTTGCCCTACAGCTTGTGCACTTGCTTGAGAGACAGAGAGGAAAAGTGAGAAATCAACACCCCTGTGTTACACACACACACCAGAATGACCACTCAGCAGTCTCTTTTCCTCTTGGGATTTTGGGCACCCATACACAAGTGCTGGGCATGTTTTTCAAGACCCCAGATCCAAGACTCCAACCAATGTCAGATCAGATCTTTAACCACCATTTCACCTGTTAGCCCCATCTTGTTCAATATTTTGGTTTCGCCTTAGATTTACTGCTTTTTTTTTGCTTGTTTCCTTGGAGAGATTTTTACCATAGAGCAAGTAAGCATGGCACGGAAAGACAAAGTGAGAAATCACGAGTGGTGGTGGTGGGGTGTGTGTGTGTCTGGCCACGCTGCAAACCCTTCTCTAGTCTCCTCTTGGTATTTTGGGGACACCACATGCACCCAAGTGTTTCAAACTGCTGAGTCCTGGACTCCCAACTGCAGGCGACTATGCCACCTGCTGGCCCTAGACTTACTGCTCTCTAATAGACTGAGTAATGTAACTTTCGGTATGTTTATTATTATCCATTCTAGCTTCTTCTCTTCCAGTCCCCAAGAACGTAAGCTCCCTGAAGAGAGATCTTTAATTTGCTCACTGATGTAGTCCAGTCTCCGAGTGTAGTGCCTACCACATGGGAGGGACTCACTAAATAGCTGCTCAAAGTGTGAATGAATAACGTATTATTTTTCTTAAAATTAGAATCCTGGGCCATTAGATGGTGTAAAAGTTATGTCGCAGGAATCCCACGCACTCGACCCCAAGTTCAAGTCCCAACCTGGAAGCTGAAACTCGCCAGGCTTGTGTGCTGGCGTTCCCAAGATCTGAAAAGGCAAGAGAGAAGAAAGGATTGCGGCGCGTCCCTTCCTCCCGAGGGTGTGGGAGGGGTTTTCTCGCTTTCTGTGTCTGTCTCTCCGTCCAGCACATGCGCTCTATAGCAAAAGCTCTCAAAAAAAAAAAAACCTTTTTTTTTTTTTTTTTTTTAAAATCCTAACATAAATAACAACAAAGGTCGAGAGACTCCCATGCTATGGAAAAAAATCCAAAGAACGGCCAAGTATTCAAGTAATTTAGCCCCTCCCCCTTCGCCCATTTCCCAAACCGCTACTTCCCGCCCTCAGGTACTCCTCCCCCAGAGCATGCGCAGCTCAATCAAGGCAACACCTTGCGCCGCCACTAGAAGGCGCCGGAGCACAATGCCCGTAGAAGTCCAAACACTAACTCCACATGACCCGCGACGCATCCACGTGACAGGCGTCGCACCCGGTGGGCGTCACGTGACGGACGCAGTTTTCCTCCAATCGCGGTGTACCTTGTGGGGATTCCATCCAGGACCCGGCCCGGGGCTCGGAACACCCCATTCTTTCGCCGGCCAATCGGCCGGCTCTCAGCTTTCAACTAGAAGGCGGTGTCTCTCCGGAGTCGTCTCCTAAAGTGGCTTCAGGAGGTCCCATCTGCAGCGCTCTGTCCCGGAAGTGACGTCTCCCAGAGGGGCCGGAAGTGGCAGTAGAGGGAGGGAAGATGGCGGAGGTGGTGAGTCCG